GGAAAATTGGTACTAAACTTTTAAATACTTCCAAAAATGGCAAAGTTGCCAGGTTTTACTATACATAAATATCTCCTGGTAGTTATATGAATAGCAAGCCCTGATCCACTTGCATCCATTGAGTTTAACCATATGGTCATACATCGATATATTTAATAAAGTCAATTTCATGCGCTTCAGATTAAAAATAATTTCCTTGGGTTGAAATGTAAAGGATAAGGCTGAGTTTCATAGATGAGAAACCGACAAGGTTACATGAAGGTTGTCTGTCGCCTCTTGCGCCACACACCAGGAGTATAAGGAGATAGAGGAAAATTAAACACGAGAAGAGCAGAAGCATCTTCCTCATAACAGCTTAAAATAAAAATAAAAAAGTGCGTTCTTCTACCGAAACACAAATGTAGAAAAAAACACAATGAATTGGCTCAAATGTTTAACATCCGAATCCAATGAAAGTTGCTTACATCCTCAACTATAATACACACAATCACACACTTTATGTATAACTGTAATATTTATATGTATACACATTATTTATATATTTGTATTAGTTATATTAATCCTGCATTTTACTAAATACCGATTTCTTCATAACTATTTCAATGGAAATAATGATCTGTTTAATATACTGTACAAACGTGTAATTTAAAGATGACAATCCGAGAGGTGGGACCTGATGACCTATAGAACAGGTATTATTTAATACCTTTATTAGGCACCAGTCTCTCACAAATTAGGGCTAAATACAATTCTATTCTACTATATTCTAACCAACCTACTACGCGTGAGCGTGACAACTATGGCAAATATTGCCACAACGCCTATGCCTACGAGGGAGGCATATGTTCATCTGTGGTCTTTTGATAGGCTGCTATGTAATGGAATATATAGTATGCCCAGGAAAAACTTACTTCTTCTTTGAAAATGTAAATGATCCTGCTGCCTAAATACCTAACTGTAATAAAGTGACAGTAGCCTCAATGCAGATTACGGATCGCGACCTCAAAATGTCGTGGATTCAAATTCGCCATTCGACTACAAGCGTGATTACAGGGAATATTAATTATGTGAATATCATTGCAAGTATTAAAAAAATATATCTTGTGTTACGTAACTTCACAATAACTACTGCTCTAATTTTAGCCGACAGGGTGAAACCAATCTCGTCTGTTCCGAAAGTTATAATTAGTTTTTAAAGTTTTATTTAGATATACTTAGGTAATTCTGTGATTGATATTGAAAATATTGGTGATTTTTATTGCGGTCACCTATTGAAATTAAAATTAAATTTGAGAAAATTTATATACATTTTTTGAAGTAGGTCTGAAAAATAATTACTCTGTTACTTTATTTACGTATTACAAAACCAGTTGTACACAACAAAAGTATCATGTCATTTAAAGACCAAGACAATGCTTTAACAAAAAAAATATAAAGATATACATGGTAGAGCCACGCTGTAGCTATATTATGGTTGTAGCACGAATGGGTCGGCTCGACCGGGGAAGGACCGCGCTCTCACAGAATACCAGCGTAAAATAGCAGCTTAATATTGCTGCTGTGTTTCGTATGGTGAGTGTAGAGATACGGTTTTTACTGGAAACGAGGGATTCCATCTTAGTCCTCGGGGGTGACAACGCATCTACGTTTTGATTTTTAATCGAGGATAAATGTAGATGTCTATGGGCCACAACATCCACTTACCTTCAGGTGGACTGTGTGGTCATCAGTCACCCTTATTTTATTGAAAAAAAAATACTAAAAGGTATACTATAATTTAGTGAAATAATAATAATAACAATTTCTCACAGACCCTGTGTCCGCTTTGAGCTTTGCCAGGATGCAGTTAAATATGTCCGTTTCTTCGAAAATTATATTCAATCATTTTAAAGCACGTAACATAGGCATAGGTGCAAACCTGAGTAGATTTGTCCATGTGTACTGCATCTAAAATGTGTGATGTGGGTGTGGGTGACGCCTAACCACCGCATTATCAGGTGCAAACAGCTGTAACACCTCCAGTACATCGGAGTACTGCACGTACTTTACATAGTGCGACGTCACGCTGGCTGAATCCAATCATGCCGAAATGTAAACTGATACCAAATATGAATTTAAGTATTTAGTTAACATTGATTTCTGTTATTTAAATATTTACACGAGTATTACAGAAATTGTAGTACCTATACAGATTTCAATTTAAGCTTCATTTGTGCATATTCACTACACTCAAAGGAAACAATACATTGGCTTTATATCCCTTTATAAGCCTACAGTAACTATTTTTATTATACTCGACGTTCTATTGTTTAAAAATATAAAACACCTTTTAATTTATAGAATCCTTTTCTATAAAACCTACATTAACGAATAGGGGAATTTTATAAAAATATTCAATTCAGTACCTTTTACCTTTGTTTGGTTTGAAAAATAAAGGAAAATAAACTTAAAAAGTAATTCGAGGTTTTCAGTGTGATGTAACACGAGAAAATACTCCAGACAAATAAACAAGATAGACGGTGCGCAAAACCAAAGTCTGATAAGCGAAACCAGAAAATGGAATTGGAAATATTTATAAAAATATATTACATATTTTTCTATAACTTAACATTAGCTACGTAGAATCTGCGTTCGTTCCAGATCGCAGGATTTCGCAATAAATTTTAAGGGTTTGTTTATGAGTTCTTCGGTGTAGCGGTGTAAAAATATCCACTTAGGTACCCGTATCGTTCCGTTGGCGACGCATAAAATTCAGAGGGACAGCGGCGTCTTGCCTATCACATAATATCACATTATCTTTATATTATTTATATATCAGGCTAACTGTAAATTCCACGCGTTGAAGTCGCGTGGAATTTATTACGATTTGATTTTATGGGTTTTTACTTTTTGCACGGAACTCCAATTCCTTAAAAGATATTATTAGTTACTTTGCAACCATCCACTCAATTAAATAAAATGATGTGTCCTACCTAAGCCTACGCTAAGCGGTCTTAGCGGTCAGCCGCCGTAGAGTCTACATTACCTGAGGATGCCTCGTGCAGAGGCGAAACACGTGTCGTATTATCGTCGATGGTGTGTCTTTTCTAGAATAGTGGTGTTGGTAATAGTGGTGCTGGGATTAGTGGTGCTGGGATTAGTGGTGCTGGATTAGTGGTGCTGGGATTAGTGGTGACGGGATTAGTGCACCCAATTGAGGGAGGGCGGGAGGTGCTCTTCAAACTAGGTAAGACACATATAATGCCGCATCCACGTTGTTAACGTTTTTAATAGAGTTAAAGTTAAAAATTAAAGTTACAGCCTATATATGTCTCACTGCTGGGCAAAGGCCTCGTCTCATTTCTGAGAGGGCTTTACAGCAAGGAAATGTCGGCCGCGCTCCCCAATGCGTGTTGGCGAATTTCACGTTTCTTCAAAAAATGTTTATTATTTCTCTGACATGCAGGTTCTCACGGTGTTTTCCTTCACTGCCAAGCACGTGGTAAATTAGCACTTAAAATTGCAATTAACAATTTCATAAACACCGGCACGGATCGCATCGGAATTGTTCGCGTACTGTGAAATTTACAGCGAGCGCTTAGCCACTGAGCTACCACGGCTGTATAGTTAAGTTATAGTAAAGTTAAGTTATAGTGTAAATAGAAACACGAGGACGGAAAAGGATCGAATAGGAGTCATATTATGAGTCTTTAATCCTTTTAATTCCAGATCTAATCGTTTAAAATACTTTATTAAGCTACTTTAATTACTCAAGTTACTGGTTGTATACTCTATACGGTTTATTTCGATACGGATCAGTACAGTAATACGGCGACTTATTATTATTTACATTTTTAGACCAGTGAAGGGGTGCAGTGTAGACACGAGAAATTTTGTAGCATCAAACGACCGTATGGATTACGGCAACTTGGCGAACTTGGAATGGAATACGGATGAAAAACCTGGGCTTTGTCAAATCCTGAGAGATTTGACCAAGCCCATGTTTTGACGTGTTTTGATTTTGAAATCCTGAGAGATTTGACCAAGCCCAGGTCAGTTACCAAATCTCCTCGACTAAAACAGCAGTAATGCAAACTATTTTTTACTGTTTCATAGGTAATTTAAAACTTTACATCCTGCGGAAAAAGTAAAATTTTCAGTCTATCCTGTGCTCTGCATCCGGTCACCTGGAATATACTATACTGAAATAGGTCTGCAGAAAGCGGAATGAAAAAGTAAAATTTTTACGAGCTCAACGTGTGGGCGCTTATATTACTTTAAAATACACCATACTATAAGAGGTTTTTTTATAGGATAGGGTGATAAACGAGCAAATAGTCCATCTGATGGTAAGTGGTTGCTGTGGTTGGTCCCATAACATCTACATCTATCCTCGATTACGAATCAAAATACACATGTGCTGTCCACACCCGTAAGGACTAAGAGAGAAATTAGCCCTGAGACAAGATGAAGCTGTAAGAGTCGCATAGACTAACAGCACTAACATCTAGATAATAGAGACTAAGATGGAATGCATAGTTTCCAGTAAAAAGTGTCTCCGGTTCTCTATACTCACCATACGAAACACAGCAGCAATAAGCTATCATATTACATTGGTATTCTGTGAGAGCGTGGTCCTTCCCCAGTCGAACCGACCCATTCGTGCTACAACTATATTTTTCTAATTGTTTCTCAAAATCCGTATAATTAAACGATTTTATTGTTCGTTCACGTAATAGAGTATACATAAATACGACACGAGACGTTGAAAATACATATTATGTACATATTATCAAAAACCAACTAGTTGTCTACGTTTATTGTGTATGGATAAACTATGTTTTTGAGTCCTTGCCTCACGTATTAATACTTTTAATATTTTCTAATCGTAAATTGATGAGATTAAAGTCAGTTTTTGTACCTTTACTCTTGCATACAATTCTTAATTAATATTGATATATAATTAAGCAAAGGACCTTTTATTTGATAAATGTGTAATAATATAATACTTTTGTTTATAGTTACATTAGCAGAAGAAAATGATGGCACGCCATCACTTCGGGTTTTAGCAAGATCATCCGTGTATAATGCCGGAGAGAAAAAAGCAATTTATTGCAAGGGACAAAATCTCCAACAGGTAATCATTAATTATTTTTATAAAAAAATTGCTACATTATTTCTCAGGTTTTATATCTAGAGAATTCGTTTACTTTTATCCTCATCACGATACTCGTAATGTTACATACCCCATCTCGTCTTATAAAAAAATCCCCCCAGATATAATGTATATACATACATACATACATATATATAATACTAAAACATACATAACATACACATATATATATATATATATATATATATATATATATATATATATATATATATATATAATACTATGAATTACTTACTTTTCTTTTCTTATCAAAAGTATTTTAGAATCAGTGTGATACATAATAGAAAAATATTGTTAGATGTACGGCGCTATCAATATTTTTCCTTTGTACCAGCCCTAAAGCAGAATACAGCAAGCCATCGGCCTCTCCCATTTTTACTTTAGCTTTTTTCAGTATAGAATATTTGCACGCTTAGCAATTAAATTAGCGATCGCTGTACCATACGGCTTGTCATCTTCGGTCTGGAGTTTAATATCTGGTATAACTATCGCCATCTCCATCGAAGATCTCCAGATCTTCCGAAGCCTTTCTTAAGTCGTCTGTTACAAAAGTAACTGATTAAGATAGTGATGATTTCTATTATTCTATCATCACGTGAGTAGTATTATTGATAATATATATTCATAATATATGTTGCAGAGCTTAGAATGGTATTCACCCTCGGGTGAACCAGTCGAGGGTCGATCTACCAAAAACACCAGAGTATACGTAGAGAGGCAGAAAAATGATACACTACTGCCTCTGATTATTCACAGTATAAAGGTTGAAGATAGTGGCAATTGGACCTGCAAATCCGGCGATCTCAATGAAACCATTGAAATTCTGGTTGGAGGTAACTTAAAAACAAAAAGAATTTTGGATTTTCATTACCTTGCAAATTTTGTTATTAATAATATTAAATGACAAAATATAAGTAATTTTCAAACTTAAGTATTTTCTTTGTTCTATTTATCAAAATAGTGATGGTCATGCATCGATTGTTTTTAATGCGAATGTTTCTGAAATTGTGGTTCACTATTTATACCCCCATTACACTACACTGAATCAGAACCTTGAATTAAGGGTGGGCGTGGCCCCTAATTAGGGAGGTCAGTTATTACAATAAACTGATTTTACGTCCTTAGTCATAGGGATGGGCAAGTGAAAAAGTATTGTATGTATATTTTTAAACAGTATCAATATGTATATATCACGTGATAAATATTGATATAGTCATGTTTTGCGTGATGTAGTAGGGTAAGGGCCAAATTTTTATTATTGGACGTTTTGACGACGAAAAAAAAGACAATTGATTTTAAAGAAAAGCGGAAAAGAAGAAATGCATTAATTATAAATATTTAAAACTTAGGGAAAATCACTTAAGTACATATGCGGATTAACGAAGTTCTGGAAACAAATGAATTCCGAATACTTGAAAATGGTGGAAGAGCAGTTCGAGGAGCTATTAAGTTTAGTTTTTTATGTCGAAAAACAAAATACGGTTTTAAGACAGAGTATTAGTGCTAGGCAAGGATTATTTGTGACTTTAAGATTTCTATCTTTATGTGCGCGCGCTTTGTGTGATTGTGATTAAAACCAAAAATACATAAGTATATAATACATACTAAATATACCTTTACATTTCAATCCTACCTACTAAGTAATGATAGTTGTTCCAGCCCACCAAAGAGTTAAATAGAAAAACAAATTTATAAAAAGTATTTTGTAACAAATTATTTACTCTGTTTCGTCCCGTTAACTTGAGTTTCGTAACTCTTTCGGTTTCTTTTCTGGGTGATTGTAGATCCAGCCTCTGAGAATAACCGCCCACGGGGTACCGAAGTTGTCGCGATAGGCAAATAGATATTAGCTAGGCTATGAAGCTCGGGAATAGCCCTTTCATGTCACCCCACATCTCTAATACATATCCCTTTATAGGAGTGACAGGTGATTACATAAATATATGTAACTCTTTTTCTGCTTTAATTTTATCTTTAGTTTCGTTTATTATTTTGTGTTCCATATGTCACCAGTACATATTATATATACAGTATTATCGCCTTTTCTGAATACATCTACGAAACTATACTATGCCGAAATACTAACAGGCGAATCATCCGTCAGTTTATCTGTTAATACATTTTCCGTTACAAAATAACTATTACCTTATAAGTTTGTTCTTAATTGATCAAGTGAAAGCTCAAACAATATAATTATTAAAAAAAATTAATAGAACAATTTCAAACCATTTTCAATATTTGTAAACTTATGTTAACTAATTATCACGATAAAATTGACTACAATTTTACATCGAGAATGAAATTACCGATTGAAGACAATTGCACTTCTGAAATTCGAGTACTTATATTTATTTTCGGCTGTAAGACCAGACCATTCGTTTGTTTGTGGATTCGTAATTAAAACTTTCGAGATTAAGTTATTTCTGATAAATAAACCTTCTAATTTTAAAAGTTTAGACGTTATTTAACTTCGACATATTTTTTATTCAAATATTTTTTTCGCAATTTTCAACATAAGGAATTTTATACCTTCGAATAATTGGTTATCTCAGAACCTTGTAGCTCTGACTTTTTAAGGGCAAGCCAAAACATCATTACTAAAACATCGCTCAAGAAGGACGATTTATGAACGATATATCGATGCTTGAAAGAATCGATGTTTTGTTTGCATCCCAAGTCGCGCATCGAATAGCCCCAACTACCCTATATACATGCACAGTAACACACTCATGGGTCCTTCCCTTACCCCTTACTCTTATTAAGGTAGGGACCCTGATTCAGTTAGTGTAATAGGGGTATTAGTACCACATTGATACATATTAAAGTAATATAATATATAAGATATTTATTATATTACTTTAATATGTAATAAATATTGAATTTTTTTTAAATTACGACAAAACGGTTCTATTAAAACAAGACATATTTATCTATTAATCTAATACATAGGCGATAAGATTAAATAATTTTGCAAAAATGTTATCATTTCAGAAAAAGTCAATATTTCCAATCGTTATGAAAGTTTCGAAGGTGAAGAGGGTAAATCGGCAAGATTAAACTGTGAGGCAAAGGGGAAGCCACAACCTGTTGTTCAATGGTACAAAGATATCGAAGTTATATCTGGTAATATATGTTTTTAACTTTTGGTATCTCTTTTGTGGTTAGATGTTATTTACAGTAAAATTTTGTTCTAAAAGATAAATCCAAAAAGTACGTCGTGAGGAAGAAGGGGGATAATTACCAACTAGAAATTAAGGATCTAAACCATCAAGATACAGGTGAATATGTATGCAAAGTCACGCAAAATGCCCTGCGGTATTATACTGATAAACGTGTACAGCTGACCGTTCAACGTAAGTTTAATTCCTTTGTAAAAAAAACTTAATATGATGCCATTAGAGAAAATAATGATTTCGAATTGATTTCAGATAAACCGATCCTCTTTAATAGTGACACTGAAGAAATTTATTCCTCAACATACAGAACCGAAGAAGTTTACGCCATTTTGAACGAAACGTAAGATTAACACATAATTTATAAATTAAATAAGTGTACGCGATACATATAATATTAATTTATTTTATAAATGTTAGTTTACTCATTAACAGATAGTTAACTAGATGTCAAAGCAGCAATGTTGAACTAAGAATAAATGACAATTTTCCAACAATTTAGTGTCATTACTCGTCTTTTATAGCATGTACATCATTAGATGAAAAATTTTTTTATGTAAAAGTGTATATGTATGTTTCAGTTGCGTATCTAAAAAAGATGTACCCCCAATTTCATGTTGCATGCCGTCATCCTAAAGTTGAATATTTGTAATATTAAATTACAATATTTTCTTTTTAAAATTTCAGCAAGAACATTTCATGCAGTGCAATTGCTCATCCTACTCCAACTTTTAGTTGGTCTAGGCGACATGAAAATGAATTCGATGAGCCTATTGAAGATGAGGAGAAGGTATAACATATACACCATTTATATATACAATAAATTGTGAGATTAGTGTTATTGACTAAAACTACTTTTACGGATTTTATCGCGTTTAATTTTACTTTTAATTATTTTTATTTTTTATTCCCGACGTTTCGGGTGCTTTCCAGCACCCATGATCCGTGGTATTTTTATTTTTAATTCCCGATGAATTAAAAATAAAAATAATTAAAAGTAAAATTAAACGCGATAAAATCCGTAAAAGTAGTTTTAATCAATGTGTAGTGTTCGCGTAAATATAAGAAATTATTAGATTAGTGTTAATTTAAACTAATACATTATTTATCTATATTATATAAGATTATAATATTATGATGACTTACGGGAACCAAACGTGGTTCTTTACTACTGGCCGTATGAGGAAGCTGAAAGTCACAGAGCGATTAAAAGGGTTATGCTCGGTATTGCTCTGTGTGATATAATACATAAAAAGAATATCCGTAGAAGAACAATTGTAACTGATATAGCCTTGCGGGTGGAGTGGCAATCGATTGAACCGAATATAACTCGAGAAATATGACTCGAACAAAAGACAACTGATCGCAACTTCGTACTCGCAAGCGTAGTGTAGACAATCCCCTTAGATGGACTGACGACCCGGTGAAACCTGTAGACAGTTAATGGATGCAGGTGGATCAAGACCGTACTTTGTGAAAGTATATAAAGAAGACCTACTTTTGTTCGACAGTGGACTTGTGATGTGCTGTAATGATGATAATGATACAGACTCGATTGATAGTAAACATCTCGTACAATGATTTGTGCCAAAGAAAACTGCTCCATATTTTCTATCATATAGTTGCCAAATTAACGGTCTATGATTTTACTCACGGTACTCGCTTACGTGTTTTGTGTAAGTCATTATAGTGGTGACCTAAGGGATTCGCCCTGTCTTTAATAAGGATCGAGAAAATTACACAAGATTTAAAGTATCCTTTTTTAAAATACTCATATAATTCTTTTTAAGGTATTAACGTCTCCAAGTGGCAATGTGTCTGTTCTTGTGCTCAGAATGCATGATGAAAGTTTATACGGCGAGTACAAGTGTACTGCTAAAAATCCTAAGGGACAAGCTTCCGTTGTGTTTCACGTCACAGAAGGGAATAAACCAAATCCACCTGATCAAGTAAGTTAAATGTAGATACCTATTATTTTAATAAACATTTTTTTGAATCAAATTAGTTGTCACGGAACTAATTTTTACAGATTTTATAACGTTTTTTATCTAAATATACGAGTACGTACTGTAAGTTCATATTGCGTAGATTGGACCAATAATTTATAGTTAAAATCCGAAGTAGCTCGAGTTTATAAAGACGACACGACCTTTAACTTAGCACTTCTTATTAATTTATTTGTTGAACACCACAGCCCCCGCAACCATGTTTCCTGCAAAAAATGCTAAACACTGGGAATCTAAAATAAACAAAAAACGTGATAAATCCGCAAAGTTATTTTCATTCAATCTACGATATTGGCGTAAAATAAAGATATCAAGAAATACATTTTTACATGTACCGGCTAAAGCCAGTAATTTATCGACACTAAGTCAGTTCGAGAGCCGGGTTTGCTCAAATGGTTAACACTCCCTGTGTATACCAGAACGCGAGTAACCCGGGTTCGATCCCCGTTGGCACCAATGAAATTGTTAATTGCAATTTTAAGTGCTGATTTACCACGTGCTCGCCGGTGAAGGAAAATATCGTGAGGAAACCTGCATGTCTGAGGAATAAGGAAAAAAATATTTCGAAGACATGTGAAGTTCGCCAACACGCATTGGGGCAGCGCGGCGGACACTTCCTTGCCCTAAAACCCTTTCAGAAATGAGGGAGGCCTGTGCTCAGCAGTGGGACGCATATAGGTTGTAACTTTACTTTTACTTTAAGTCAGTTAAGAATATAATAGTGGTATCACTGATAAATGTTTTTTTTTTCAGGTCAGTGTTTATTCATCTAATGTCAGCACAATCACATTCAATGTAACTTGCTCAACGTGTAATATGGATTATGAGGAAGATAAGGCCCCAGATCCAGCTAACCTTGTTGTTCTTGGTAAAAAAAAATTGGTACATTATTAAAAACCCATTTTCTACTACTCGCGGTACTTATAATACCAACAACTGTTAGCACGATGAATGTGCTCCTGATAACGTCTATGGCTTTTAGAGAAGAAGCTAGAAGTTATTAACAGCGTAGAAGATATAATAGTGACAAAAGACAGAAGTGTACACAATAAGCTAAGAACTTTGCCCTTCTTAACCTTGTTTGTGACCTTGTGACGTATATGCGACAAGATCTTTGGGTTTTGCTAAAATTTGATTTTTATACAGATGTTGATTCCTGTTAAAATCCGAATTCAAAACACGCTGCATGTATACAATAGATTACTCTCACCATTCAACTACGCAATAATTGATGACTTATGTCATCAAACTGATAAAAGCCCAAGTATTCATAGAAAATTACTTACGTAAAAGTGATATTTTCTTATATATTATAAGCTATTATTTTTCAACCGGACCTCTAAAGGCTATCTTTGGTGAAATAAGTTTAATAAATGAAAGATCTCACCCAAATGAAACACAATATAAAATTATTTGTGATTCTGCATATCCTCAGTGTTAGTAATTTCGTCAACAATTTTTATTTCAGGTTATTCGTTCGAGTTAGTTCCAGTGCGAGCTGATTATCCTCCACAATGGGACGAGGCGTTATTCTTCGATGTCGATATTCAATCTGCTAATGGTAAAAAAAAGACACAGAATCGTATACTATTATTGTCTTTAATTAGTTTAAATAACTTTTTTTTGTGTACAGACACGTTGTTCACGGTTGGGGAGCTATCAAACAGCACAACTTTTCACGCCCGAGTCCGTACACGCAACGCAGCCGGCCATTCTGAATGGGTGGACATCGTATCTTCCAAAATTATAACTACTAGCAATGCTATAAAACTATTTCTGTCCTGTAATTTGCTTTTTGCCAGCCTTATAGTGATTGCATGTAACAAAGTAAATATTTAAATGACTGCATTGAAAAAATAAGTTCCAGTGTTTGAATTAATAACCTAATATTGATTAATTTGAAAGAAATTTATATTTACAATTACAATAAAGTTTTTGGCGTTAAAAATTAGGTACTTTTAAACAGAAAAATAGTTTATTATTAAATTATTAATATTATCTTAAAAAGAAGAATAAGAACGATTTCTGTCTAGTCGTTATATAATAAATACAGTAACATGCTTATATATTGTTTCATGTCAAATTAACCAATTTCAATTCAATGCAATATGTTTCCTTTCCTATATTTTTGAATAATTTTAAAAATTCTACCCTCTTCGTAAATATTATGCATTTTTAGTAAATTTAATGTCTGTTATTGCAAATTACATAAATGTTCAATCTATATAAATGGCCTAATTCTTTTAAATAGGTATAAACTGTAGAGTTACACAACGTAGAAATAAAAATCAAATTTTGTTAAATTAAGCATGATATACCTACATGTTATAATATGTTCCAATACCTATTTGTGGGAAAACCTTTTCACGTCACGTATGCAATGACTATTACGTCCATGTTTTGCTTGAGATAAAAATAAATGTTGCAAAGTATGGTTTGGTGTTACACATTTATGTAGTTTTAATGATTAATCAGTAAAATAATAATATGAAAGTATGCGTATTCAATAGTTTGTTTCATAGTTAGAAGAAAACACGATATTATTATTTTTTTTAATAATTTTTATTTTTACGGATGAACCATTGAAGAATTAAATAAGTTCATTGTAAAGATTACAGTCTTGCATTTGTATTAAAGACTAAAATATAATAAACATGTAGAACCTGCATAAAAAGTGAAAACATCTAAGGCAGTAACAAATAGCCAAAAATTTTCACATTTTGACTCTGTATGAAATAGTTATCTATAAATAGAATTATTTTTACTACGGGAAGAATATGCTTTCCGATGCGACTTGTGAGTGCTTCGAGATATATGGTATTTGGTATTGCCTTAGCTGGCTTTACCTATTACTACTACGTACTCCATCTATCTTATTATTTTCTTCTAAGCTAAATATTATTGTGTGAATAACAAATCGTGTAGCAAGTTAAACAACAACAGACTGTACACGGGTATTATTACATACTATTCTGTAAAATATTTATTTCATTCCAATAATTTTCTAAGTTACTTTTAAGTGCGTATGTAGATATTCCTGTTGTTTTAACTTTATTGTTTTTAACATAGCCATAAATTATCAATATACGTGTATAATTTATATGTATAGTCATATAATAGCTATTTATAGTTAAACTGTGACAATATGAGAACGTTTAGCAAAGTTGTACCAAATTGTTTCATTTATAAATTTAATAGTTTGTATACACATAGCTTATTGTATTTCATAACAGTAATTTTACTTAATTACTATACGCCAGATATGATTAATAAGCATCGTTTGTCAATTTTAGGACACGCTAAATCTAATCTGTAGTTTCCTTAAATTTAGATATCAAGTGTATACAGGAAGACTGAATTTGCTGTAGATATAATTTCAATTGCATTTTTCATAGTTTAAAAGGTTTCTTCTAAAATATATTCTATATAATATGCAAAGTAAAAATTTTGCTTCAAGCGTTGTATATGTAAATTTTGCAGGAGTGCAAAAATATTGCGATAATATGTTATTTCATAATGGGGAAAATTCTATAACGTGCCGTCATTATCATTAAATTATGATAGAATCATTTTAAAAATGATTTGTCTTTTCAAAAATGATTGTGTATCAAAAAGTTGAAATTTAATTCATTGTTTAATAAAAGATTTTACTGTCGTTACATTGACTTAAATTACGGTCGTACATAATAAGTTTGTATATATGTTAGAATTCTAATTCTTTAATACACAGATTGTGAAGTGCAAAATACACATAATCTGCCTCTAATAAAATGGTTTACACATTCATGTAGTTTTAATTATTTGTATCATTAAAGTTGTCTGTGATAAATGCTTGGAGATCCTAAGGCTTCCGAAATGAACGTAGATGACACTATAACAAATTTGTAGACAGATGCAGCCAATATGCAGTAATGTATGTTACCTTTAATCGTAGCTAAGCCATATTATTGATAAAATATTATTGAAAATGGGGTATTTAGGAAATTTGTAGAGCGAAATATTCTGATTTCCAAGTATTAAAATCATTTCACAAAGTATACACTGCTGTGTATACTTTGTGAAATGATTTTAATTATAATTAATATACCCTCACCCGATAGCCGGAAATCTATGCTAGCCTAAAACGTGAGTTAGTTTTTTCGTTCTACTTTAGCAGTAGGCTTTCAAAAAGGACATTAATAGTTGAAAATATATTTTTTATGCAATCAGGGTGACAACCAAGCACACAACTCACCTGATTGTAAGTGGATGTTGTGGCCCATAGGCATTTACATTTATCCTCACCCCTGAGGACTACGGTGAAGTGCCTCGTATCCAGAAGAGGGTTTCGAGTTCGTTACACTCATCATTCGAAATACAGCAGCATTGAGACGCTATTTCATGCTCGCATTCTGTGAGAGCGTGGTCCTACTCCGGTCGAGCGGATTCATTCGTGCTACAACTTGCAGTTGTAGAATGGCTCTACCACGTTAAGATGAATTTGAAATGAAATGAAATATCCTCTTATTTAATTCAACGTTAAAATATACATTTCATTTGTGAACGTCATATGCTATAGCTTAGAATATGGTTATAAGGTATTACTGACCGGTGCAAATAAGACAAAGAAACTATATAGTTAGCGTAGCTATTTCCTCTAGATATAATAACGTTCATTAGGCCAATATTTACGAAGCCAAACATACATATTGTACACATATAATAAGAGGTAGGACTAATATACTGTCTATAGGGGTCCATCCGGTTAGGTACAACACTATTACTTACGTATATCTGTCACCATTACAGTACGTGTACGTGTTTCGGTCTGAAGGGTTTAGAGACCAGTATAATTACAAGCCGTGAGGTATTCCATCTTAGTTTTCAGTGCTGACAAGAGCCATGGACTGCTGTAGCCATAAACCACCATATTTTCACTTCATATTCATAAAAAATATATCAAAAATCATAGTGTGACTACAGTTTATACGTGGTAGAGCTACGCTGCAGCTATATTATGGTTGTAGCACGAACTGGTCGGCTCGACCGTGGAGGAACCACGCTCTCACAGAATACCAGCGTAAAATAGTAGTTCAATATTGCTGTGTTTCCTATGGTGAGTGTAGAGATCCAGAGACTCTATTTTACTGGAAATGAGGCATTCCATCTTAGTCCTCAGGGGTGACAAAGCATTTTCATTTTGATTTTTAATCGAGGATAGATGTAGATGTCTATGGCCCACAATATCCACTTATCATCAGGTGGACTGTGTGCTCGTTTTAACACGCTTACTATATAAAAAAATCTCTTATTCATACAGAACAAGTATGTGTAGAAAATGTTAAGCGGACGGTATTTACCCGAAAGTAATTAAATATTTACGTTTTCTTTTGTCTCATCACATAAAATTATTTTTTAATACCTCCGTTTGTCTTCGTCCGGAATTCTTATGATGACAATGAATGAAAATAAATTTTTGTTAAGATGATCATATCGTTATTACAACGGTATTTCTTATAAAAACAGCCAAAATACAAATAAATTAACATATTTCCATCATCATCATCATCACCACAGCCTATAAAAGTCCACTGCAGAATATGTGCCACATTATTATCTCCATATTTGCCATTTGTTATTTATTATTTGTTACTAGCTGCATTATAACTTTGTAATGTTATTGTGAACAGTAAGAAATAAATATTTTATGAAGAAATCTTACTTACTACTTTATTTTGTATTATATTTTTTATATTATATGGCTTATTTTTTAGTTGGTAGTTATTTTTGCCTCATTCAAAGTATTCATACAATCGAATAGTCTCATACAGTTTCATTTGTAATACTCTCGGTTTATGCGGGTGACCCACAGGATAATTAAGGGTAGTAGTAGTAGATTACCTAATTGGCAAAGTTTTCGATTGACATTATTTTGAATGATTTTAATAGAAAAAAGTATATATCACAAACAAAAATATTTACATATGAAGTGTAACTTCATCTTTTTGTAAATTTCAAGTATTTGACTGCTTTATGCACACCTTAATCGAACAGATTAGGAAGACGCCGCCGCCCATCTACTTGGTTTATTTCCCCCTGTCGTCCCTTAAACACCCACGGGATCTTACGAGGTGGTAGATATACTTGCACCGCTACATGGTACATAATTTAGTTTCAAATTAATTAATTTACACTGTTAATTATAGGTATAGTTAATTATAGTTATAATCTTTAACAATTAAGCACATGAATGGTTACTTATTTTCGCCCTCATCACAAGAAAAAGGTACAAGCTTATGTTATAATTCAGAAATAAAGTGTAGCGGTGTTAACATAAATAAAGTGAATTCTGAGTACAACGAAAAATTGAATAAAATCATCATTATCATTATCAGCCCATCAGAAGTACACTGCTGAACCCTTATTACTAGGGCCCGGATTAATATGTAAATCCATATTTTTAATTGAAATGTTTTTTTGTTCTTGAATATATTTTCTACATAAATTATGATATTTTGATCAAGAAAATGCAATTTTTATTTTCCATATTTTTCCATATTTCAAGTATAAATCCATATTCCACAAGAAATTAAATAAATTTATCCATATCTTCATTATTTTATGTTAGATGGATGAGCAGCTCTGTGAAATGACTAAAAATGAGTTTTAGATGACGAAAATGCCAGCAAATCCTTTTTATTGGCGTGTGTAGAACTTCTTTAATCTTTAATGCAACCACCAAACGTCAGTAAAGCTTTTTAATGATGCAATGAGAGTTTTGTGGCCTGATGGAGTTAAACATGACCAAGTTTTCTTGCCACTTAGCGATGCTACTCTTGTATGGTAAAAGATGTAGATTC